ACAAGGGGCACTTATGGGCTCTTAAATATCCTGGATTTTAATAAAAGTAACTCTTTAAGGGGATGTACTATAAAACTACATGAAAATAAAAGTAAGCAAGTAAAGAGAACCAACATTTATAGAATGCCTACTGTGTTCTTAGCTTCACTGGGTGCAAGGCACATTGCATGCTTCATCTCATTTTACAACCATTCTATGTGGACTCATTTTATTTTTTCTGATGTTATTTCCAGCTTACAGAGAATCAGAGCTTATGTAATTTTCCCAAGCACATAGCTGATCAGTATTAGAGTTGTGCTTGAAATACCAATTGCTCTGATTCAAGAGCTTGTGCTCTTTCTCCCATACCAAGATTTCACTCAGAGCTGATTTCATTTCACACGTGCAGCAATTTAAAAATGTAAAATTAGCCAATGGAGCTCCTATTCAAGAAGCTACATGTATAAAATGACATATATGTAGTATATAACATATAACTAATTATTAAAACCTGGAGTATGATTAATAGAATTTGGTGAATAAACAAAATAGCTAAAGAATTCCTCATTTGTAGCATATCCAATAGCAATGTTGGGGCAAACGCTGGATTCTTTCTGATGCCCAACAGCTCTGTAATTTAACTACTCAGTCTCCAAATCCATATTTTAAAAATATCAAGACCTGTTAAAAATTTTGACCCAAATACATTAGACATGTCAGAATTTTTTCAGGTAAAATATGTATAATCATGATAATAATTATGGTAATGAGGAAAGTAAGTTTCCAAAAGGAGCTTCATTTAAATTAATGGCATACTTTTTATATGCACAGTACATTTGTAAAATGCAGTAACTAAATTTTGGCAATTAAAAAGTATAATATAATAAAAATATGTTTATATTGGAAGAGCTGCTTTTTCACATTAAACTCTTGATAAGTTATTAAAATTGGTACTTAAACATTTCACAGGTTAAGATACTTCTGCTTACAAGGCCCATAAGATATCTAAAATGTGCATTTAAAATGCTGTTTCAATTATATTTCATATTTTGTGTTAAATATTTTATCCTAATTTTTTTAATGATTGTAGTTAGTGCCCACATTCGGAAAGGATTTCTTCATTTGATAATAATGTTAATTACAGACAACTTAAAAAATACTCATTCGCAGGGTGTTTACTCACACAATGCTAATCGATGTTTCGGATGTGGCCAGGAAGGAATCCTACCAGCACAACATTGACACCTATCTGGATCTCATAACCTTCACACTTTAAAAAGGGTTCCAGCTGGAAACAGAGTTAACCAAAATGATGCTCTCTGGTAAGACAGATGCTCAAAACAAATATTCACCGATGGATAAATAGACAAACAAAATGTGGCATATACATAGAAGGAAATACTATTCAACAATGAAAAGAAAGGAAATTATGACACAGGTGACGACGACGTGGATGAAACTGCAAGACCATGATGCTAAATAAAATAAGCCAGAAATAAAAGGGAAATGCTGTATGCTTCTACTCACATAAGATACCTAGTGGTCAGATAGTAGAGACAGAGAGTAGAGTGGGGTTATGGCCTGGATCTGGGGCACAGGGAGAATGTGGAATTGTTTAATGAGTGCAGAGCTTCAACTGGGGAAGATGAAACATTTTGGGAGGTAGATGCAAATGATGATGGCACAATAATGTTAACATAATGCTATAGAACAGCACACTTAAAAATGATTACAATGATATCATTATATTCTTATCACACTACAAAATAGCTAATTTTCAGTTGAAGTAATGTATGCTCTGTGGAAATCACTGAAGTATCTGCTAGTAAGAACAAGTTAGGACAGAGGCAAAGCAAGGAAAGTGCAAAATTTTCTTTTAAAGAAAAATGACTGTTTTTGAATGGGTAATACATGCATATAATAAAAAATGCAAATTTTCCCACAGGGTACATGGTGAACTTAAGTCTCTCTCTCTTCCTAGTTCTCTATTCATTGAAGGCAGCATCATTAGCAGTTTTTGGTAGAGCCTTCCAAGAGATTCAAGTATTTAAACAAGGTTTCGGTTCCTTTAACACAACTGGTAGTTTTTCTTGCTTTCTTCATAAAAGAAATCTAGGAAATTCTTAATTTATGATACAGCCTCATTCTTTTTAATCGCTGGACATTATTTCATTGTGAGAATGTACCATAATTTATCTAGCAGTCTCTTGTTGATGGGTATTACGCTTTGTTTCCATTATTTTAGAATCATGAGTGATTCTTTCCTAACTACCATTGTATGATTGCCATTTTGTGCTGTGGGGAAATAATGGTACCCTCACAAGTTTGACAATGAGGAATTGTAGCTTCTTGGATAAAGTATCAAAAGTTATAGCTCAATCTATCTGGAGGGATGGATGATGGAGGGTACCACCTTCATCACAAGATAAGTTAGAAAGCTCGATTGTGAACTGAGTGATGGGAGGGACTAAGTAGTAGTGTAAGAAAAGAAAAAGGAGAAATAGATTTAACGAGTTTTTGAGGAGAGACACATTTTAGGACTTGATGACAATAGTATAAAAGATGGTACTTTAAACCTTCAAGGTTTAAAGACCTCAAGGTTTCTAGACTGGGAGCCTGGGAAATTCTGCTCAGTGCCACATTTACTGAGTAACTACTAATGTACCTTGATCATGCTCTAGAAGGGAACAGGAATAAGATGAGCATACATCCCCTGACACAAGTATGTATCAGCTTTTGGGACTTCTTTAAAGATAATTATGGCAGGCATACAGTGTCTACAAAACATATATATCTGGGAGAATGAGAACCACCTCTGTTTATAATTAATGAAAGGTCTGTGCACAGCATTTCATACACCATGGGTCTTGATTAATATTTACAAACTGACTACCTCTCAGTATGGTGTGAGGCAATGAACCCAAAAATGTCTTCTCTTTCATTGACAGCACAGAATAGTTTTCTTGGACTTCTGAAAATGGCCACCATCTCTGTTTTGGCAAACATGTATGTGTGGTTCACAGTAAGTGGACCACGAAAAGACATATTGAATGAAGGAAAGAAAGAATAAAATTAAGAGAGCCAATTAAGAATAATGGTTATAGAGTAAGATAATACCCCTACAAACAAGGATATATTTCATGAAATCAAATTGGAGAAGAGCAAAGCAGATGGGTGCATAATGATCTCATGGACAAAGAATGAGATCTAGAGACAAATATTTCTAGGTTTAAACCTTACAATTAATAAATGATACTGTTTTATTTGGAGCAAGCTCTTTAGCATTGTGAAATATATATAATCAGACATTTTGTGTACAGATTAAACAAGGTAATACATAAGGTGCTGAGCACAGTGTCAGGTTCTTATTCAGTAAATGCTACGTCCTGCCACACTTCTCTCTTTTAGTTCCAAGTACTAGTTCCAGGATAAAATGTTCACATCTAGAATTTAATGAGATTGAACCAAAATGTGAATAGACCAATAACAAGTAATGAGATCAAAGCTGAATTAAAAAGTCTTCCAGCAAAGAAAAGCCCAAGACTCAATAGCTTCACTCCTGAATCTTACCAAACATTTAAAGAAGAGCTAATGCCAATCTTACTCAAAATATTCTGAAAAACAGAGGAGGAAGGAATGCTTCCAAACTTATTTTACAAGGTCAGTATTATTCTGATACCAAAACCAAAAATACGTCAAAAAAAGAAAGCCGTAGGTCAATACCTCTGAGCAACATTGACACAGAAATCCTCAACAGAAATACCAGCAAACCAAATTCAACTACATTAAAAAGATTCTTCATGACCAAGTAGGATTGATTTCAGGGATGAAAGGATGATTCAATATATGCAAGTCAAATAAATGTGATACATCATATCAACAGAATGGAGAACAAAAAACCATATGATCATTTTAATTGATACTGAAAAAGAATTAGATAAAATTTAACATCCTTTTATTATAAAAATCCTCAAAAAACTGGGTATAGAAAAAAAATGCCTCAACACATGAAAGCCATACACAACACACACACAGCTAGTATCATACTGAACGGGGGAAAGTGTGAAAGCCTTTCATCTAAGATCTGCTACAAGACAGGATGCCCACTTTCATTACAGTTATTCAATATAGTACTGAAAGTCCTAGCTAGAGCAATTGGACAACAGAAGGATATGAAGGACATCTAAATTAGAAAGGAAACACTCAAATTATCAAGTTTGCAGATAATATGACCTCATATTTGGAAAATCCAAAAGATTCAACCAAACAAATAAAAGAACTAATAAACAAATGTAGTAACGTCACAGGATACAAAGTCAATATAAAAAAACCAGTAGCATTTCCATATGTCAACAAATAATCAGAAAAATATTAAGAAAGTAATTTCATTTATAATAGCTCCAAATAAAATAAAATACCCAGGAATAAATTTTACCGAAAAAGTGAAAGATCTCTTAAAAATAAACTATAAAACACTGATGTAAGAAATTGAAAAAGATATAAATAAATGGGAAAAAAAATCCTTGTTCATGAATTGGAAGAATCAGTATTGTTAAAAATGTCCAAATTAAGGTAAAGATGGTCTAATAGGAACAGCTCTGGAATAGTGCAGTTCCCAGTGAAAGCAATGCAGAGGACAAATGGTTGCCACATTTCCAACCAAGGTACCAGGTGCATCTCAATGGGACTGGTTGTAGCCAAAGGAGGGTGAGCCAAGGTAGGGTGGGGCACTGCCTCACCTGGGAAATGCACTGGACTGAAGGATCCCTCCTCCTCCCCAACAGAGGCCATCGGGGGCTTTTCCAGCCACTCTGGCACTCGGGTTCAGATGCTGTCATCTCCCATGGTCTTTACAGCCCATAGACCAGGAGATTTCCATTGGCCAACAAGTGCCGTGGGTTTCCAGCACAAAAACCCTCACTGGGTGGCCATTTTAACTAGCACCTGGAACCCCTCTGAGATAGAGCCATACATTCTCCTGAAAAACAGGAGAGGATGTGGAGAAACAGAAATGCATTTACCTGTTGGTGGGAGTGCAAATTTGTCCAACAATTGTGGAAGACAGTGTGGCAATTCCTCAAGGACCTAGAAATAGAAATACCATTTGATCCAGCAATCCCATTACTGGGTATACACCCAGAGGATTATAAAGCAATCTATCATATAGACACAGGCACATGTATGTTCATTGCAGTAATGTTTACAATAGCAAAGACTTGGAACCAACCCAAATGCCCATCAAGGATAGACTGGATAAAGTAAATGTGGCACATTTACACCATGAAATACTATGCAACCATAAAAAAGGATGAGTTCATGTCCTTTGCAGGGACATGAATGAAGCTGGTAGCCATCATTCTCAGCAAACTGACACAAGAACAGAAAACAAAACACCACATGTTCTCACTCATAAGTGGGTGTTGAACAATGAGAACACATAGGCACAGGGAGTGGAACATCATGCACTGGGGTCTATTGGGGGGTGAGGGGCTGGGGAGGGATGGCAGTGGGTGGGGAGAATGGGGAGGGATAACATTAGGAGAAATACCTAATGTAGATGATGGGGGCAGGGATAGAGACAGTAAACCACCATGTCATGTGTGTACCTATGTAACAATCCTGCAAGATCTGCCCATGTACCCCAGAACTTAAAGTAAAATTAAAAAAAGAAAGAAGAAAAAAGCTCAAAAAAAGTCTTTACTACCCAAAGCAATTTACAGTCAATGGAATTCCTATCAAAATACCAATAACATTCTTCACAGAAATAGAAAAAATAATCCTAAAATTTATATTGAACCACAAAATAAGTAGCCAAAGCCATTCTGGGCAAAAAGCACAAAACTGGAAGATTCACACTACTGGACTTCAAGTTCTACTACAGAGCTACAGTAACCAAAACAGCACAGTACTGTCATAAAAACAGACACACAGACCAATGGAACTGAATAGAGAACCCAGAGGTAAATCTATACATCTACAGTGCACTCAGTTTTTAACAAAGTTGACAAGAACATACATTGAGGAAAGGACAGTCTCATCAATGAGTAGCGCTAGCAAAACTGTATAACCATAGCAAAAGAATAAAACTAGACCCCTATCTTCTCTCACCCTATATAAAAATCAAATCAAAATGAATTAAAGACTGAATTAAATGACCTCAAATTATAAAACTACTATAAGAAAACATTGAGGAAACCCTGTAGGATATTTATTGGGCAAAGATTCTTTGAGTAATACCCCAAAAGCATAGGCAACCAAAGCAAAAATAAACAAATGGGATCATGTCAAGTGGAAAAACTGCTCTATAGCAAAGGAAATTATTTTTTTTTTAAAAAAAACTGAAGAGACAATCCACTGAATAGGAGAAAATATCTACAAACTATCCGTTTGGCAAGGGATTAATATCCAGAATATATAAGATGATCAAACAATGCAATAGGAAAACAAATCCAATAATTTGATTAAAATGAGCAAATCTCTGAAGAGACATTTTTTAAAAGAAGACATACAAATGGCAAACAGGAATATAAAAAGGTGCTCAACATCATTGTTTCTCAGAGAAATGCAGATCAAGACTACAATTAGATATCATTTTACTCCAATTAAAATGTCTTTTAACCAAAAGATAGGCAATAACAAATGTTAGTGAAGATGTGGATAAAATAAGACCTTTGTTCACTGTTGGGGAAATGTGAAGCATTATTACAACCACTATGGAGAACAGTATGAAGGTGTCTCAAAAAACTAAAAATAAAACTACCATATGATCCAGCAATCCCACTGCTCAGTATATACCCCAAAAGAATGTAAATCAGAAAGTGAAGAGATATCTTCACTTTCATGTTGGTTGCAGCACTACTCACAATAGTCAAGCTTTGAAATCAACTTAAGTGTCCTTCAACAGATGAATGAACAAAGAAGATGTGGTATATATGACACAACAAAGTACTACTCAGCCATGAAAAAGAATGAGGTCCAGTCATTTGCAGCAACATGAATGGAACTGGAGGCCATTTTTTTAAGCAAAGACACAAAGGTAATTTTTATGTGTCTCACTCATTTGTGAGAGCTGAAAATGAAAAAAATTGAACTCAAAGAGATAGAGAGTAGAATGATGGTTACCAGAGGCTGGGAAAGGTAGTGGGGAGAGGAGGGGAAAGTGGGGATGGTTAACAGGTACAAAAATAACGTTAGAATGAGATCTAGTATTTGCTAGCACAACATTGTGACTACAGTAAAGAATAATTTAATAAACATTTAAAAATAACAGAAAGATTATGATTGTAACACAAAGAAATGATAAATGCTTGATTTCCATTTCCTCTGATGTGGTTATTACACATTGTATATCTGTATCAACATATCTCATGTATCCCACAAATATATACACCTGCTACGTACCCATAAAATAAAATAAAAAATTTAAAAAAATTTAAAAAGTAACCAAAAAAGAACTTAATGATAAAGACTGAAGATCTAAGATTCTTGGCAGTACAGTGTGATGTTAAGAGCATAAACTATGGAGCCCAATGCAGAAGAGCTAACCTGAGCCTATTACCTATCAACCATGTAACTGCCACAACCATGCTTTCCTTTCTATTATCCCCAGTAACATGGAGATAACCAAGGTGCCAGTTCATAGGGTGGCATGGTTGAAGGAAATCATATGTGCAGTGCTTTTCAAAATGTTAAGCACTCAGAAAATGGTGTTGATGAAAGAACTTATTGGTAGATGAAAGAAGTTGCTCTTATCCGTGTGTTATACATAAATCAGGTTTCTATTCTGCATTTAACTACCTGAAAAACTTCCAGGAACTTTCTATATGAATGGCCATTTAATCATGGTCTAAAGGTGTGTGCAAAGATAATGCATGTCCTAGGATTATAGATCTGTGAAATGTTAACATAGAGGGAGACCCCCTTTGACTTTGAGAAAAACATGATCACACCTTTCCTTTTTAAGCAGCATGATAAATAGATACTAACTGGATGGCTCTGTTGTATTTAATGTGTTTGAGCACACTGTCTAAAATCTACTTGAACAGTATAGTATCTATGGAATATTTCCTCTGAGAACAGGTTTTATTATTAGATTACATTAAACAAGATATGATCTGTCAATAAGGGATTTTTTACCCCCAATCCAGCTTGCCGATGGAAATACCTGTTTTTAAATTACTCTAAGACCTTCTTTGTAGGAGGCTGGGAAAAATATAGCCATCAATCATAAAACTGACAAGCCCTGGGGTTGGCATGGGCCTGGTCTAAAAGATGCAAAAAACAAAGATAAAGGTGCACAACAGGTATGCAGAGACAGGGAGGATGAAAGATAAACAGAAGTAGCTATTGGATAAGAAGAGTGAGTTAGAATGCTGTACTTAGAATGCAAAATTGAAAAAAAAAAAAAACAAAGAAAAAAGTGCTTAAACTGGAGAGAAGAAGAAAACCTTTCCTTCAAATATTAGGAAAAAAATCCAGATGATTCTATTGCATAATCAAGACTTAATCGGGCCACAGAATGCTATACTTTCACTTTACTGTTGCTTTTATATTTCAATTTAATCCATCTTCAGTCACAAAGGTTTTTTTCCTTTTTCTTCATCTCATATCATCACCAGTAACAGCTCACCTGTTTTAAAAATATCTTGACCCAAATAAGAAAAGCCTCTTTTGAATTAATTGCTCCTCATGGGACAGTGAAGGTACTTTCCGTAATTCAAAGTTAGACTTGCAGGGTAAAAGGAAAAACAAAAACGAACATAAAAACCAAATAATCGCACAGCTCTCCCTTGCTGGTCAATCTAATAGGAGTGGGAGAAAAGTCTTGCATTTAAATAACTGTTTTGCCTATAAAGATTTTTCATCTCTCTCAAAACCAAATTCCTCTGTAAGATTGACATTTCGGAAGAGGAGGGAAGGCAGACAGGTGAACTCAGATTAAAATGGATTTTGCCAACCTTCCATTTTAAAGGTCAAGGTTGTTGCAGACTAGCATTGTGTCTTTAGTCTAAAGCTCCCGACTTCATTTTCAGCATTCAGGAAAGACCATGAAATAAAAGGAAGAGAATTCTTCCCTTGCTCTTTCTGGTACTTAAATATATGTGGATGGAGGCCTTGGGTGCAGAACAGTAAAATGACTTCCTATCATGTGTTCTATTCTTCCAGAGGTAGAGCAAAGATGTTTAATTTAATTCATGAATTTTGGACCATTCTGAAAAAAATGGCATGTGAACTAACCTTTCTTCCAGTCTACATTGCTCTGGATTGCAATGGTGAATTGCATTCAGTGATTATACATTCACTTTCTGGGAAGATTCAGCTCCCATCGTCTTGCTTTCACCTGTCAGACCATGTACTCACTCTGGAGTTTGTTCTTGGAATGCTTTAAAGATCAAGTGAAAATTTCTGTATAGTCTCATGAACCAAGGCATTGCCTCTGCCATCTTGAAGTGATGTGCATACACCTGGCCTGGCTGTGTTCATACCCTGCATCCTGGTTGTACAATGAAAATTCTACAGAGTTCTTGCTCTTGAGGAGTGCATGGCTAATTAGGAGGTTTCCTTGTAAAAACTAAGTTTAGGTCTCCTGTCTTTGGGAGAGATAAATCATTTGTGTAAAGTTATAAAAAGTACAACTTTCGTAAGCACAGAATCTGAGTACATTCAGGTCCTTCACAGATGAGGGTTGTCGGAATTTTGACCCAACTGTTCTACAGATGCTCTCTTTATACTAGCATTTAATGTGATTTTAACTCTCAGGATGTTTTAAGTAGTTACATAATATATACATTGGTATGGTGTATTTTGCTATTTTTTTGTGATGAATTACAGTTATTCATAATACTTAAAAATACTACAGAGTAACAATACACAAGATTTTGAGCTAATTATCAATATGCAATATATTAAATGACACATGGTACATGCTTGTTACATACCCACACACCGCCCCCCACACACACAAAGAGAAAGATTCTGTGTTTCTTGAAATCAAGCAAGATATAAGATAATGAAATGTTATTGGTGGAAGGGTCCTCAGAAATGATTGATAATAGTCCCCTGATTTTTAAAATGACCAAACTGGG